TGTCTCTCCATCATCCCAGCAACTCCAGCAGCAGGGCTGGGGGCTCTATAATCCACAGGGATGGTGGCTGCAGCCTCTCCAGCCCCACTATAAAACCCTTTTCCCCCATATTTTTGGGGGAATTTCCCAATTTGCTGCTTGGCTTGGCTGGCATCCTTTTCCATCCCGGGTCAGTCCCGTGCCTGGCAGCGCTCACTGTGGAATGTGTCTCTCCATCATCCCAGCAGCTCCAGCAGCAGGACTGGGGCTCTGTAACCCACAGGGAAGCAGAGCAGAGTGCTGGCTGAGGGCATAAATGAGATAAATGAGGCAGGAGCTGGGAAGGAGGGCGGGCTGGGCAGAGAGGGGAGCGCGGGCCCCTGGCCGGGTGGCTCCGGCACTTCCAGCTCATTTATTCTGCCGGGGTTTGCCCAGCCCTGCTCGGCATGTGAAATGTTTTCTCTGAAAGACCCAGCAGTGAGATGGGTGAAAAACATTCTCCTGTCCCAGGAGCTGGCAGAAATCCTGGTAAATCTGCAGAAGTATGTTTTTGTCGGTGCTGCTTGTTCTGTGAGGAGAACTAGTATAAACTATGCCAGCAGAAAACCTTTTTTCCTGGAATGAAGTCCTGACTGTGTTCAGAGCATTGTCAGCACGCTTGTGCTGGGAATGGAGCTCTGCTGGTAAACATGCCAGCACCAGGGAGGCCCAAGGGGGCAGACACAGAGCTCCTGCCCCATGGTCAGACCCCTCACCAGGTACTCCTGCCCTTCTCTGCTCAAATCAAAATCTCTGGAATCTTAAATTGCAAAAAAAAAAAAAAATCAAAAAAATCATAGATTTGTTTTTCTGCCCTGCCATCCGTTCCCCCCAGGCTGTGGCTGGACATCCCCCAGTGGGGTCAGCACCATGGGGACGTGTCCCCATCCCACATCCCTCAGCACAGCTGAGCCATCACTCCTGCTTGCCTGCCTCAGTTTCCCTGACCCCAGCTGGCACAAGGGGTGACACCGGGAGCTCCTGGGTAACAGCAGAAATTCACTTTGAATTTCTCATCCTTTGCTGTGTCCATTTCTCCCTGCTCCTCATGGCCAGGATGGGGGATCCTGCTGGGAATTTCAGCAGGGTCTCTGGGTGGTTTGGGCTGGAGATCAGAGCTGGGACCCCCAGGGTGGGTTGTGAGCCCCAGGGGGTGGCTCAGCACAGCTGGGTGTGCTTCAAAGGGGCGCAGGTTTTTCTGGGCTCCAGCCGCTGCTTTGCTCTCCAGGCAGGCGTGAAAATGTGAAAGAATGTGAAAAATGCGAAAACGATCATGCTGGCCCCAAGATTTGTAAACTTTCTGGTTAATGTGTAATAAGTACACGACAGATAATGCCAGCACAGCGAGGGTGATCCCTCTGTGGTGGCACTGCCAGGGGTGACATCCCAGAGAGGCATCTACACAGGGACCAGTCCTGCTTGGAGAGGCTTTGGGGCTTTTCTAAACTGGTTTATCTGGTTTGGACTCCTGCAGGCTGCTGTGAGCTGCGTGCCTGGCTTGCAGAAGGCAGGTTATTTGTTTGTTCAGGGCTGCCCTGGTCCAAGGTGCGTGCTGTGCCACACACCAGGTGTGCCACGTCCAGCTGCCAACCCCGCTCATCCCCAAGGCAGCGATCCCTCCCAGCCACTCCTGCAGCTGCAGCCACCTGGGCAGCGTTTCCTGCTTGGCACAGGTGCCACGGCGCTGCTGCCAGCCTGGGGAATCTCTCCTGAGTAATTCTGGTTTTTGCAGAAAGAGCTGAAAGTCAATGGGGATGGCTCTGCGTGGGTCTGGCTGCAGAGGGGGTGCAGGTCCTGGTGCAGGGGGGATCCCAGGGGGCTCCCACCCTGCACAGCCTGGACTCACCGGGAATCTGAGCTGGAAAGGGTCAGGGAGGGCTCAGGGTGCAGGGCTGATGCCAGGGATGGCCTCACACTCATGGATGTGGTCTGGATGTGGGCATCCCACAGGCTGTGTTCCACCTCGCCTTCAAACAGCTCTGGGCATCAGGGATCAGCAAGTTTTGTTTGATGCTAATGCATGAATTTGAGCCCTGAAAGACTTTCCCTGTAATTTAGGGAGGAGAGAGTGTCCTTTGAAAATGGTTTGGGTTGTTTTTGTTAGCTGTGTCATCCTGGCATCCCTGCCCAGAGTCAATGGAAGGGACTGGGGTTTGTGGCTTCGGCTGCTTTGCTGTGGGCTGGGGTTTCTGTGGGGCTGCAGGTGCAGCTGGGGGGAGCCCGGGGCACTCTGGGGGTGCAGGGCAGCCCCTCAGGAGCTGGGTCTGGGTTTGGGAAGGATGTTTGGAGAGGCTGGGACTTGGCACAGAGAGCAGCTCAGCCTGGGAGGGGTTGGGAGCTGCTGGGTGCCAGTGGAGGGGCAGGATTAGCTGGTGTGTCTTCCCAGAAAGCCTGAACACCACCTGCCTGAGGGCAGGATTAGCTGGTGTGTCTTCCCAGAAAGCCTGAACACCACCTGCCTGAGGAGATCAGCTCAATTCTGGCACTTTGTTTTTTCCCAAACCTCAGATCTGGCACAGGGTGATTGATATCCTGCTCTGTTGTGGAGAAAACCAGGCAGCAAAGTGGGATGGGGCTGGGAAGGGATTGGGATACAGCTGGGAATGGGTTGGGATGGGACTGGGATGGGGATGGGTTGGGATGGGATGGGGTTGGGAAGGGACGGGACGGGATGGAGATTGGAAGGAGCTGAGATGGGGCTGGGAAGGGATTGGGATTGGGATGGGGAATGGAAGGGGCTGGGGTGAGCTGAGGGCTCCCTGCCCACTGTGAGGTTGGTGGCTCAGCCCTGTGCTGTCCCTGGCCCAGCTGGGCTCAGCCCTGGGCAGGGGGTGCTGGACACAAGCAGAGCTGCTGCTCCTTTCAAGTCCCCATCCATGAGGAAATCCAAGGAAATTGCAAAGGAATTTTTGTTTTGAAAATGAAGGCAATTTAGCTGCCATCAAACATGTCCAGAGACCTCCTCTGGACTGTTGGAGCTGTGGGGATGCAGAGGGTGCAGAACAGGACCTGAGCTCCATGGGGCAGGGCTGAGCAGGGTTTCCCAGAGCTGAGCCCCCTCCCACAGCTCAGCCCCACATCCCACCCCCATTAGCTGATGCACTGAGAGCCTCCAGCCTCCATAAATTATCACTCTGGGCTATGAATTATGAATGGAGCCACATCTCTGATCACTGCACTGCTCTGCTGACAGCCCAGGAGCTGCTGATCCAAGTGACAGCCCAAAGCTTTTAAGGATGTGAACGGCAAAACCTGGGAATAATTCCCTTTGCAAGCTACAAACAGCTTGGCCTACAGATGGGGCTCATCCTATTCCCTCTCCTCCCTCCTCCTGTCCTGTTCTTCTCTTTTGTTTCCCAGTTTTGGCTTCTCTACTTTCCCTCTCTGTTAATGGGTGTAGTCCTGCTTGGCCACCCATGGGAGCTGCATCCCTCGTGCCACATCCATCCCTGGTACCTCTGGGGACAGCAGGTCCTGGCCATCCCAGCCCAGCACAGACCCCACAGCCACTGCAGAGCTCCTGGTGCAGGACCCAGCAGGATTTTGGCAGATCTCTGCAGCTCCATCCCCCTTTGGCCATTACTTGGTGTTCAAGACATCGCATTCCGCATCTCCATCTGCTCCATGGGGCTCTGCCATTGCTCCTTGGAGGCTTTGTCCTTGAACCTTTCCATCTCTGGAGGCCAAATCCTACCCTAAGCAGCTGGATGTGCTTAATTCACCCAAAAAAAAGGGTGGGTTTTGCCCTCTGGGTCTGTATGGATTCCTGCCTCCTCACCTCTGGGGCAGCTCCATCCAGCAGCTGGGCTGTGCTCCTGCTCTGGCAGCTGTGGGGCAGAGGGAGCAGAACTAAATTCAGACAGTGAGCTTCAGACACGTGCCAGCTGTCACAAACGAGGGCAGGGCCCTGTATGAACCCTTTGTGGGGCTGCAGCACTTGGGGGAAAGCTCTTGGCAAGCAGGAGGGAGCAGGGGATGGGAGGAAGATGAGATGGCAGGAGCACGGGAAACAATCCCAGCCTGGGCAGTGGGTTTAGGGAAGGGGCACTCTGCATTCCCATCCTTTCCAGCTGAGCCATTGTGAACCAGGCAGCAGAACAACTTCAAAGGCAAAGCCTTGGTGTCTGGAGGTGTTTTGTCCTGATCTCTGCAGAAGCTGCTCTGCCCCAGGCTGGGCTGCAGGAGCACTCACTCCCCTGTCCTGACTATTTCCTTTCCCTTGCACAGGGGATGCTGTAAGCAGGTGAAGGATGGACTGACAGAGCCCCAGCAGGCCCACCCAAGGCTGAGGGGCTCAGCCTGCAGGGAAGGAGCCAGTTTTGGACACAAACATCGCTCAGGCTGCGGCGAGGGGAGAGGAGCTGAGAGGAGCTGCCGTGGATCGAACCCGCTCCTGGAGGGGAAAATGCCACTTCGGTTTGGTGTCTAATTAGATATTTACCAGGAAGGAAGGAAAGATATAAATAGGGTGACAGTGACTTCAAAGGGTGTTTTTTGACTTCTAAGAATAACACCTTTGCTGGCGCCGCTTTCGGGAATATCGGCTGTGCCGGGGTGTGAAAGGCGGAGGAGGTGTCGCAGCTCGGTCGGCAGCCAAGGGAGCAAACCCAGACCCCAGCCCCGCTCCCAACCCAGACCCCAGCCCTGCTCCAGCCCCACAGAGCAGTTGAGGAGGGACAGAGCCCCTGGAAAGCTCAGCTGCATCCACAGGGACACAGCAGGGGCAGTTTGGGGAAGACCAGCGATGCTGCAGCGCGGGCAGGAGGGGACGTGTGGCACCATGGGGACCCCACCCCTGTCCCCGTGGGCAGTGCTGGTGCCCACCCTGGTGCTGGTGGGGCTCTGGGCTCCCTGTGTGGTGAGCAGACAGCCCAACTTCATCGTCATCCTGGCTGATGATGTGGGCTGGGGGGATCTGGGCGCCAACTGGGCAGAGACGAAGGAGACGCCGCATTTGGATCAGTTGGCTGCTGAAGGAACAAGGTAATGTCCGTCCCCCTTCCCTGCCCTCACCCTGCACCCCTGGTTCCTCTGCCCCCAGCACAGGGGAATTCAGCCCTGTGGAACTGGCAGGTGAGGGGGTTTTGTTGGTGTGGGTTTGGCTGCATGGGGAGGGCAGCCAGAACCTGGCAATTGGGGTGCAGATCCATCCATCCCTGCTGGAGCCTTCCTCTGCCACTCCTCACCCTCATCCCCAGAGCAAAAGGGGGAGCGTCCAGGGGAGCAGGGAGGGGCAGGGCACACAGAATCTCGTGAGTTGAAGGGCTTTTCGTTCTGCAGGTTTGTGGATTTCCACTCAGCTGCCTCCACGTGCTCCCCGTCCCGCGCCTCGCTGCTCACGGGGCGCCTGGGGCTGCGCAACGGGGTCACCCACAACTTCGCCATCTCCTCTCTCGGGGGCCTCCCCCGCAACGAGACCACCCTGGCCGAGGTCCTGAGGGAGGCTGGCTACAGCACAGGGGCCATAGGTAATGCCCAGAGTGCCAGGGGCACTGGGGAGGTGCCAGGGTGAAATGGTGGCACCCAGAGTGCCAGGGGGTGCCAGGGTGAAATGCTGGCGGTGAAAGGGAAACCTAAAGGATCACGTGAGGGAGATTTCACACATCGCCCTTGCATTTTGCAATGCCAGGCTTAAAATCTTCCTTTTCAAGGGTGCTGCCGGAAATCCAGACTTCTCCTTCTCCGTTTAATCTCTCACTGCTTTATCTCCCGAGGAATGTGCTGGGTGTTCCTTAGCAAACAGGATTGGCTCTGCCATCCTGCATCCCACATCATGGGCAGTGCTGCTGGCCTGGTGGCTTTGGGCACCCTCCTGTCACTGTGGGTCCCCCTCAGCCTGCACAAACCCTTTGCATCTGCAGCTCCTGTTGTTGTGCTGGCAGAAATTCCCTCTGTTTCTCCATTCCCCCCCAGTTTTTGCAGTTTTCCCTCTTGGATCAGCATGTTTGGTGGGAGCAGGCACGTGCTGGAGGTCAGGGGATGAAGCTGGGTTTAGGGAGGGGTTAGGAGCTGTCTGCTCAGAACACAAACACATGAAAGAGCCTTTTAAGGCTGGAAACACTCGCTTTGCACAGCCATGAGATACCTTATGCATTTTTTCTGGGTTTTCTGCAAAAATAGACAGCATTCTGGAACGGCAGCCAGCACAAACAAGGAACCTTCCTGGTAGCTTGATTAAAGCCCCCAGCGCTGTGGGCACCTTGTGGGTGAGGGCTGCTGGTGGCCAGGGCTGTGTCACCTCTGAAATGATGTTCTGTGGCTTTCCTGCAGGCAAGTGGCACCTGGGACACCACGGCCACCATCACCCCACCTCCCGTGGTAAGGGCTGTGCCAGGGGCATGGGCTGAGGGGCCTGCGGCCACCTGGACCCTGCTGACCCCCTCACTGTCCTCTCAGGCTTTGACTACTACTATGGGATCCCCTACAGCCACGACATGGGCTGCACAGACACCCCTGGCTACAACCTGCCCCCCTGCCCGCCCTGCCCAGGGCACAGCGCCGCTGCCAGGTACGGGCACAGGGCTCCAGGGCTGGCACGGGGAGCTGGGTGTGTGCAGCAGTGTCCCCAGCCCTGAGGGCTGCCCTTGTGGTCACCTCCCCTCACGCCCGGTGCACCCAGTTTCCCCCTGCAGTCTGGGAGCCCCCGTGACATGGGGACATTGGCATCACTCCCCTTGTTCTCCCTCCCTTGAAGCCAGGCGATCAGCCAGGCTCTGTGACAAGCCTGGGGTGGTTTTGCCCAGCAGGGTGATGAGGAAGGACTGTTACACAGAGGTTGCCCTGCCTCTCATGGAGAACATCACCATCGTCCAGCAGCCCGTGGAGCTCGGCAGCCTGGCCAGGCGCTACGCAGAGGAGGCAGAGAGGTTCATCCAGAGGGCCAGGTGAGGCCACCCACTGTCCCCTGTGTGTCCCCTTAGCTGGGACAGCTCCTGGGGCACTGCAGGACTCCTCTGCATCACCCTGGTGCAGTGCCAGGGGAGATGGGTGCTGCCCCATGGTTCAGATTTGGGGTGTCCATGGCTTGGCTTCCTGCTGGAGGAGGCACTGAGGCTCTTCTGGTGCCCTCTAAAGGGTTGTATGCTTTTAAAACATCGTTTTTGGGGAAAGTCAAAGCTTTGAGTGGGGCTGTGCCTCCTTCCTGGGGGTGAATATGCACCAAGGTCTGTCCATGCCTGCATCCCTGGGGATGAGGCAACAATGGGGTGGTGGAAGTGCCTCCATGAGTGTGGAGCTGTGCCTCCTTCCTGGGGGAAATGTGAAGAATGTCAAGGTCTGTCCATCCCTGCATCCCTGTGGATGGGGTGGCAATGGGGTGCTGGAGGTGCCTCCATGGGTGTGAAGTGCTGCCAGGCACTGAGTGGTGTCAGGGTGGGACCAGAACAGCACCAGAGGTGTTTGAACACTCCCAGTATGAGAGATTGGATCAATTTTAGGGATAAAACACCCTGGGCTTCAGGATCTGCCTCCCCCAGGCTCAGAGCACGGGAGGTGCCCGCCTCTGATTGTCCCCGAGGAGCAAAGTGGCTCCTCCAACGAGGCCCCCGAGCCCTGCTGACGGGTTGTGTAATTTTAATCCCCATTATTGGCGGATTACGAGCTGTGACTTTGCAAAACGCCTCCCTGCAGAGCGAGGAGAGGAAGCGCTGCCGGGCAGCCCTGCCCGAGCCCATCCCTGCCCGCATCCCGGGATAACAGGCACGGGAGGGTTTGTGTAACACCGGTGAAAGGAGGGCTGGGCAGGGAGCAGCACATGGGCAAATGGCTCTCTATAAAACTGGGCACTGTTTTATTGCATAAAACATGTATTTGGCCCTTTAGATACTAAGGATTGGCCGTGGGGTGGCTTGGGATGCTGAGGATACCCAGGCTCTGAGCTGTGGGGAAGCACCAGCCCCTTCTCCTGCCAAACCCCCACCCTCTCTGTGGCTGTGAAACAGAGTGTGTAAGCTCTGGGTTAATAGGAAAAACCTTTAAACTCCCAGAAGTGTGTTGGGGTTACAGGAGAACAGGATTAAGCAGGTGCCTGCATTTTCTTCTCTTCCCTGATGGCTTATTTCAGTTTTCCCCTGCCCCTGCTTATTCCCGTTTTCCCCTGCCTGCTTGGCCACGTTTGGGATGCTGAGGGTACCCAGGCTCTGGGCTGTGGGGCAGCACCAATCTCTTCTCCTGCCAAACCCCCGCCCCTCTGGTCTGCCCTGGCTCTCTGTGGCTGTGAAACCATGTGTGTAAACTCCAGGTTAATAGGAAAAACCTTTAAACTCCCAGAATGTTTAGGGGTTATCTGTGTTCATGGAGAACAGGATTAGGCAGGTGCCTGCCTTTTCTTCCCTTCCCTTTGATGGCTGATTCCAGTTTTCCCCTGCCTGACTCATTCATTACAGGGCAACAAAAGAGCACCGGATTTGCCATCTCGGTGTTTTTTTAACCAGCCGAGGTTGAGCAATTTGTGACAGTGAGACGTGGCACAGGCGAGCGTGGGAGCAAAAGTCAGGGACTGCTGTCTTCAGTTATTGATTAAACGTTTGCCTGATCTTCAGGACAATTCCGAGGTGTCTGAGTGGCAAACGAGGAGGATGAGCACCACAGCCACGAGTCCATCTGGGTGCTGGAGCCAGGGGAAGCAGCTTTCCCTGCTCTGGGGGCTCTGGCATCCCTTGGGAAGAGCTCTCACAGTGGCTGTTTGCAAGGGGCACATGAGCTCTCCTGACCCCCATGTCCTGCAGGGATGGGCAAGGTGCCAGGGGAGATGCCAGGGAAGATGCCAGGGGAGATGGCTGCTGCCCCATAGCTCAGATTTGGGGTGTCCATGCCTTGGCTTCCTGCTGGAAGAGGCACTGAGGGTCTTCTGGTGTCCTCTAAAGGGTTGTGTGTTTTTAAAATATCAATTTTGGGGAAAGTTAGAGTGGGGGTTTTGAGAAAACCTTTCATGGGACTCCAGCCCTCAGCAACTCTGGGCAGGATGGGGGCTTGGCTTGGTGTCCATGGCTTGGCTTCCTGCTGGTGAAGGCACTGAGGGTCTTCTGGTGTCCTCTAAAGGGGTTGTATATTTTTAAAACCATAATTTTTGCGGGAATTCGGAGCGGGGATTTTGAGAAAACCCTTCCTGGGGCTCCAGCCCCCTCAGCTCCAGGCAGGATGGGGATTTTTACTCATTTTGCAGGCCAGGTGGGTGCCGGGCAGAGGAAGGAAGCGCAGCCACGCACTGGGCAGGGCTGGCAGGAGGCAGAGATGGGGCCGGGCCCGTGCACAGCCCTGGATCCGGCCCCTCCTCGCTGCTGCCATCCCACCCTTCCCCTCCGAGCTCCCTGAGGAAGAGCAGGCTCGTTGGAGCAGATAAATATAGCTGTAAACAAGCAAACAGGACGTGTCCTGTGCTGCTGCGGGGCTGTGCATGGCGGTGGATGTGCTGCAGTATGGTGGCACTGCCCAGGCCATGTAGAGCTGTGTGGGGGCCCTGCTGTGCCACATCCTGTGCCCACAGTGCCACCAGGCCAGGCACCAGCTGGAGAGGGGGAAAAAGGGACAAAATGGGCCCTCAGAGAGGGGAGGGAGGTGTGTGGGTGCCCTGCTGTGCCACATCCTGTGCCACAGTGCCACCAGGC